ACATCTTTCCTATATCACGGCGGCTTTGTTTACTGGAAGGATACAACCGTAGGAGGAACAGGTCTACGAGATAAAGGAGGCCGAGACAAGAATGAAGCAAGACAGAGACGTGAACAAGGGGGCAGACCGTTACCCCCTGGTGGCCAGGGGCCAGATTCACGAAAGCACTTACGCAAACACTTACGAACGTGTGCATCTTTTCTCAATGTTTGGCGGCTGTGTTTCCAATTATTAAACAGTTAATGAGCTCCGAAGCACCAGGAGGCTGTTTATAACAATAACAACAGTTGATTGGCAAGTTTTCATGCTTGTAAACTGTTTAATAAATGTAACCAAAGCCGTCAAAGATTGAGGAAAGATGTACACGTTCGTAAGTGCTTGCGTAACTGCTTCGTGAATCTGGCCCCAAGTTCGTAAGTGCTTGCATAACTGCTTCGTGAATCTGGCCCCAGGTTCGTAAGTGCTTGCGTAACTGCTTCGTGAATCTGGCCCCAGGTTCGTAAGTGCTTGAGTAACTGCTTCGTGAATCTGGCCCCAGGTTCGTAAGTGCTTGAGTAACTGCTTCGTGAATCTGGCCCCAGGTTCGTAAGTGCTTGAGTAACTGCTTCGTGAATCTGGCCCCAGGCAGCTACCAGGAAGGACGCCACAAGGAGCCACTCTATAAATATCCCCGAGAGTGTAGGGGACGCGGCGGCGGCGGCGGCGGCGGCGGCGTCACTTAACTAGACAATGGTCAGATGAGGAGCGCCACCAGTGGCTGTCTGCCACCACTGGCTGTCTGCCACCACTGGCTGCCGTCCACCACTGGCTGCTGACCTCTTATGTAAGTGTGTTCTGTTATAGCTCTCCCTTTGTAGCCCCTGAGACGTCCAGTGCTGCGACTTGAGGTGGTGTCCAGAGCTGCGACTTGAGGTGGTGTCCAGAGCTGCGACTTGAGGTGGTGTCCAGAGCTGCGACTTGAGGTGGTGTCCAGAGCTGCGACTTGAGGTGGTGTCCAGAGCTGCGACTTGAGGTGGTGTCCAGAGCTGCGACTTGAGGTGGTGTCCAGAGCTGCGACTTGAGGTGGTGTCCAGAGCTGCGACTTGAGGTGGTGTCCACAGGTGCGACTATCTGTATTTCTCCATCTGTGCCGCTCTTAGTCTGTCTGTGTCCTGTATCTTTGTATCTGTGTATGAGTCTTTGTCTCTCTATGTCCACATCTTCGTGTCTGTCATTTCCCTGTGTCTCTTTGTCGCTCTCTGTTACTCTAGGTCATACTGTGTGTCTTTCTGTATCTGTCCGTTTCTCTGTGACTTTGTTGTTTCTATGTCTGTCTGTGTTTCTATACGTTTCCGTGTCTGCATTTATGTCCCTATGGTTTTATCTATCTGTGCTTCCCTCTCTCTCTCTCTCTCTCTCTATGTCTTTCTGGGTCTACATGTCTCCTTCTCTGTCTATCTTTATCTGTTTCCTCTGTCTGTCTGTCTGCTTCTCTCTTTACATGGTACTTTACACAGTGTGCAGCAGACTACAGTGTGTGGAGTACTTTACATAGTGTGGAGCAGGCTACAGTGTATGTGGAGTACTTTACATAGTGTGGAGCAGGCTACAGTGTGTGGAGTACTTTACACAGTGTGGAGCAGGCTACAGTGTATGTGGAGTACTTTACATAGTGTGGAGCAGGCTACAGTGTATGTGGAGTACTTTACATAGTGTGCAGCAGACTACAGTGTATGTGGAGTACTTTACATAGTGTGGAGCAGGCTACAGTGTGTGGAGTACTTTACACAGTGTGCAGCAGGCTACAGTGTGTGGAGCACTTTACACAGTGTGCAGCAGGCTACAGTGTGTGTGTGGAGTACTTTACATAGTGTGGAGCAGGCTACTGTGTGTGGAGTACTTTACACAGTGTGCAGCAGGCTACAGTGTGTGTGTGGAGTACTTTACATAGTGTGGAGCAGGCTACAGTGTGTGTGTGGAGTACTTTACATAGTGTGGAGCAGGCTACAGTGTATGTGGAGTACTTTACATAGTGTGGAGCAGGCTACAGTGTGTGGAGTACTTTACACAGTGTGCAGCAGGCTACAGTGTGTGTGTGGAGTACTTTACATAGTGTGCAGCAGGCTACAGTGTATGTGGAGTACTTTACATAGTGTGGAGCAGGCTACAGTGTGTGGAGTACTTTACACAGTGTGCAGCAGGCTACAGTGTGTGGAGTACTTTGCATAGTGTGGAGCAGGCTACAGTGTGTGTGGAGTACTTTACACAGTGTGGAGCAGGCTACAGTGTGTGGAGTACTTTACATAGTGTGCAGCAGGCTACAGTGTGTGGAGTACTTTACACAGTGTGCAGCAGGCTACAGTGTGTGGAGTACTTTACACAGTGTGGAGCAGGCTACAGTGTGTGGAGTACTTTACATAGTGTGCAGCAGGCTACAGTGTGTGGAGCACTTTACACAGTGTGCAGCAGGCTACAGTGTGTGGATCACTTTACACAGTGTGGAGCAGGCTACAGTGTGTGGAGTACTTTACACAGTGTGCAGCAGGCTACAGTGTGTGGAGCACTTTACATAGTGTGCAGCAGGCTACAGTGTGTGTGGAGTACTTTACACAGTGTGCAGCAGGCTACAGTGTGTGGAGCACTTTACATAGTGTGCAGCAGGCTACAGTGTGTGGAGCACTTTACACAGTGTGCAGCAGGCTACAGTGTGTGGAGCACTTTACACAGTGTGCAGCAGGCTACAGTGTGTGGAGCACTTTACATAGTGTGCAGCAGGCTACAGTGTGTGTGGAGTACTTTACACAGTGTGCAGAAGGCTACAGTGTGTGTGGAGTACTTTACATAGTGTGGAGCAGGCTACAGTGTGTGGAGCACTTTACATAGTGTGGAGCAGGCTACAGTGTGTGTGTGGAGCACTTTACATAGTGTGCCGCAGGCTACAGTGTGTGGAGTACTTTACACAGTGTGGAGCAGGCTACAGTGTGTGTGGAGTACTTTACATAGTGTGGAGCAGGCTACAGTGTGTGTGTGGAGTACTTTACACAGTGTGCAGCAGGCTACAGTGTATGTGGAGTACTTTACATAGTGTGGAGCAGGCTACAGTGTATGTGAAGTACTTTACATAGTGTGGAGCAGGCTACAGTGTGTGTGGAGCACTTTACATAGTGTGCAGCAGGCTACAGTGTGTGTGGAGTACTTTACATAGTGTGGAGCAGGCTACAGTGTGTGTGGAGTACTTTACACAGTGTGCAGCAGGCTACAGTGTGTGTGGAGTACTTTACATAGTGTGGAGCAGGCTACAGTGTGTGGAGCACTTTACACAGTGTGGAGCAGGCTACAGTGTGTGGAGCACTTTACACAGTGTGGAGCAGGCTACAGTGTGTGTGGAGTACTTTACACAGTGTGGAGCAGGCTACAGTGTGTGGAGCACTTTACACAGTGTGGAGCAGACTACAGTGTGTGGAGTACTTTACACAGTGTGGAGCAGGCTACAGTGTGTGGAGTACTTTACATAGTGTGGAGCAGGCTACAGTGTGTGGAGTACTTTACATAGTGTGGAGCAGGCTACAGTGTGTGTGGAGTACTTTACACAGTGTGCAGCAGGCTACAGTGTGTGGAGCACTTTACACAGTGTGGAGCAGGCTACAGTGTGTGGAGTACTTTACATAGTGTGCAGCAGGCTACAGTGTGTGTGGAGTACTTTACATAGTGTGCAGCAGGCTACAGTGTGTGGAGTACTTTACATAGTGTGCAGCAGGCTACAGTGTGTGGAGTACTTTACATAGTGTGGAGCAGGCTACAGTGTGTGCAGCAGGCTACAGTGTGTGGAGTACTTTACACAGTGTGGAGCAGGCTACAGTGTGTGGAGTACTTTACACAGTGTGCAGCAGGCTACAGTGTCTGGAGTACTTTACATAGTGTGCAGCAGGCTACAGTGTGTGGAGTACTTTACATAGTGTGGAGCAGGCTACAGTGTGTGCAGCAGGCTTCAGTGTGTGGAGCAGGCTACAGTGTGTGGAGCAGGCTACAGTGTGTGGATCAGGCGACATAGTGTGGAGCACTTTACATAGTGTGAGGAGCTCTTAACATAGTGAGGAGCACTGTTCACAGTGTTCACTTCACAAAGTGGGTAAAGTTAGGATAGGTTAACTTTGAACAATGTTCACTTCCTGTTCATCTATCTACCTTTGAACTGGTTGGTTCGTCCCTGCTTCTTGTAGGATCGGCGTTCGATCCTCGATGGCCAGAGTGGCAGGACACAGTTCCTTCACAGTCTTTGCCAACCACTTGGGTTGGACGGTAGAGCGACGGTCTCGCGTCGTGCAGGTCGGCGTTCAATCCCCAGAGTCCGTCCACACAAGTGGTTGGGCACCATTCCTTTCCCACCGTCCCATCCCCAATTCTGACCCCTTCCCTGTGCTATATAGTGGTAATGGCTTGGTGCTTTCCCCTGATAATTGTGTCGCCCTACTTAAGACACAATTACTTGATTATTCAAACCACTTTACACAATTCATTAGGACCGTTCCGTGACTGAACAGGGACACGATTCGTCAAAGATTTGCACTCCTACTTACGATACACTTACGACCCACTTACGACAAACTTACAACAAACATACGACAAACTTACGACCCACTTACGACAAACTTACGATCCACTTACGACACACTTACGAAACATGTACATCATTCAACAATGATTTCGGCATTATATACATTTATTAAGAAATTTCTTGGCGTCAAATCTTCATAATCCAAAGTTACTTTTGTTTTAAACAACATCGTAGAGTGGAGCTCCTCAGATGTTTAATAAATGCCAACAAAACCCACCATGACTGAGTAGAGATGAACAGGTTTCGTAAGTGTTTATGTAAATGCTAGGCGAATTTAGGACCCAAGTTGAGGTACATATATATATATTATTATCAGGTACTATTATATATTATTAGATACTATTATTATAGGTATATATATATATATTAATATATATATATATATATACACACACATAAGACTGACCTGGGCGTCCTCTGCTGACTTCTTGTAGAGCTCCCGGATGATGTCCTGCATGACTTCAGTGAAGCAGACGGTGTAGTTGGTCCAGCCTTGAGGCAGACTGAAGTCCCCGGGCGACTTCCCCTCCCAGCGGCCCGAGACGTCACACCTCTTGCTGACATACTCTGGCGGGACCAACAACAGTGTTAAGGTCACTATACACCACCTCCTCTAACTCTTACATAACAACATGCTGGAGGCACAGTAGGGAGAAAAGGTAGAATGGAACAAGTGAGGAGCAGGGGTGCCATAGGGGTGCCATAAGCGTGCCATGGGGGTGCTATAGGAGGTGCCATAGGGCAACCCGTTCTCGCAAATTTAATAAGTCAATATTGACTTATTAAATATGTGCATAAGTATGTCACCTAACATAATAGATACCCTTAAAAAGATTCATAGAAAACACCAACCTTACCTAACCTTGTTAGTATCTTAAGATAAGCATCTTATTGCTTCGTAATTACAATTATTACCTAACCTATAATAGGTATAGGTTAAGTAATAATTGTAATTACGAAGCAATAAGATGCTTATCTTAAGATACTAACAAGGTTAGGTAAGGTCGGTGTTTTCTATGAATCTTTTTAAGGGTATCTATTATGTTTAGTATATCACCTATGCACGTAGTTAATAAGTCAATATTGACTTTATGAATTTGCGAGAACGGGTTGCATAGGGGTGCTATAGGAGGTGCCATTGGGGGTGACATAGGGGGTATCATAGAGGTGCCATAAGCGTGCCATAGAGGTGTCATACAGGGGTGCCATAGGAATGCCATAGAGGTGCCATAGGCACAATCAGAGAACACTGAATAAACATCAGAGGTCCAGTGAAGAGCAGAGGTGCCATAGACACAATCAGAGAACACTGAATAAACATCAGAGGTCTAGTGAAGAGCAGAGGTGGCATAGACACAATCAGAGAACACTGAATAAACATCAGAGGTCCAGTGAAGAGCAGAGGTGCCATAGGCACAATCAGAGAACACTGTATAAACATCAGAGGTCCGCGGTTGTTCAACGTCCTCCCAGCGACTATAAGAAATATTGCCGGAACAACCGTGGACATCTTCAAGAGAAAACTAGATAGTTTTCTTCAAGAAGTGCCGGACCAACCGGGCTATGGTGGGTATGTGGGCCTGCGGGCCGCTCCAAGCAACAGCCTGGTGGACCAAACTCTCAAGTCACAGAGCCACACCAACACTCAGGGAGCCACACCGACACTCACAGAGCCACACCAACACTCAGGGAGCCACACCAACACTCACGGAGCCACACCAACACTCAGGGAGCCACACCAACACTCACAGAGCCACACCAACACTCACAGAGCCACACCAACACTCACGGAGCCACACCAACACTCACGGAGCCACACCAACACTCACAGAGCCACACCAACACTCACAGAGCCACACCAACACTCACAGAGCCACACCAACACTCACAGAGCCACACCAACACTCACAGAGCCACACCAACACTCACAGAGCCACACCAACACTCACAGAGCCACACCAACACTCACAGAGCCACACCAACACTCACAGAGCCACACCAACACTCACAGAGCCACACCAACACTCACAGAGCCACACCAACACTCACAGAGCCACACCAACACTCACAGAGCCACACCAACACTCACAGAGCCACACCAACACTCACAGAGCCACACCAACACTCACAGAGCCACACCCATTATAATACATTATCCAAGAAGAACATACTTAATAACAAGTAATTTATATGTGTTAAAAGCCATTTTTGTCGAGTCTAAACAACGCAGGAAATTTTTATCCCGGTAATTATTTACGAGGGGGAAAAATTGGTTAATTTTACACGGGCATAAAATGGCGATTTTGTTCCGCGTTAGTTTGGAGGTAGAATATGGTGGGGGGGAGGGGGGTAAGGGGGGAGAAAGGGGGGGTGGTATATTAACACACATTTTGTGTGTGTTATCCAGCGAGGCTTTTTTAATATCCAGTGACGAGCACAACACCGGTTTGGGTTTTAATTACATGTAAAAACCGCTTGAAGGTTCCGGGGAAACAGGGGGGGGGGGAGGGGGGAGGAGCCTGCGTGTACTTGGCCGGCTTGTGTAACGTTTGTGTATCATTCATGTATGGAGCATGTCTCCGCCTGAAGCTCCGGTCGCATCCTAATGTCTTACAATCCTAATGACCCAAACATCATAACTGTGTGTAACAAAGCCACTACTACATTGGGACAAGACCTCTCCATCTTAGATATCTCTAGTAGTCTTCAGTGTTATCTTCTCTCTGTTAGACAGTCGTTACGATCCTTCAGAGTAGTTTGGGTCACATACAATGGAACTGACTTGATCGTGTTCAGGGAGGAGCAGCAAAGTTAATTAGGAAACTCTCTTATGTACAACTAATGAAAGTCCAATTTCCCTATATAGTGACATGATTAATGGATACAAAACTATACTTGTGGAAGTGATCATCTGTTTATCTGTTGGTTGAAAGTAGGCGGCCAGAGGCTCGTGGCTAGTCTCACCAGATGTGTGAGTGAGTCAGTCCACAGGAGCTCGGGGTAGAGTCCATTGTTTACACTTTACAATAAATGCTAAATTCCACTAATTAACAAGGTCACAGAATATAAACATCCATCCACTCTCAGATTCATCTGGGAACTCCAACTTTTCCAGACATATAAATGTCATGAAATATAGTGATATATTATAGGGGAGGGAGAAATATATATATGTATATATATATATTATTAAATATGACCGAAAAAGTAAGATTAATAATTCTAACACGAATTTTCTCAATCTTTCGTACATTTCTTTTCACTGTTGGAGGTAATTCAAAAATCAATTCTCCAAAATTCATTTTTATTTTTTTATTTCTTCTCGTTTCCTTAGTGTAGACTGCAGTGTGGAAACCTCCGCTCTTTTCCATGACTGTTACATCTAGAAAGGGCAGCTTCCCATCCTTTTCCATCTCGTAAGTGAAACGCAGGACGGAACTCTGCTCAAATGCCTCCTTCAGCTCCTGCAGATGTCTGACATCAGGTACCTGTGTAAAAATGTCGTCAACATATCTGCAGTATATGGCCGGTTTCAAGTTCATGTCGACTAAGACTTTTTGCTCGATGGTACCCATGTAGAAGTTTGCAAACACGACACCTAGGGGAGAACCCATGGCGACCCCATCTACTTGCTTATACATGTGCCCATCCGGGCTCAAGAAGGGTGCCTCTTTAGTACAAGCTTGGAGTAGTTTCCTTAGAATATTTTCGGGTATGTCAAGAGGAGTACAGGCGGGATCACGATACACTCTGTCGGCTATCATCCCCATTGTCTCGTCCACAGGTACGTTGGTAAACAGCGATTCTACGTCCAACGAGGCTCTTATCCCTGTGGCCCGTGTGCCCCGCAGTAAGTCAACAAATTCCTTTGGAGACTTCAGGCTGAAGGCGCAAGGAACATAAGGAGTCAGCAGGCCGTTGAGTCGCTTCGCCAGTCTGTACGTGGGTGCGGGTATCTGGCTAATGATTGGCCGAAGTGGGTTTCCAGGCTTGTGTGTCTTGACATTTCCCCTAGGTGTCCTGTTTGCAAACTTCTACATGGGTACCATCGAGCAAAAAGTCTTAGTCGACATGAACTTGAAACCGGCCATATACTGCAGGTATGTTGACATTTTCACACAGGTACCTGATGTCAGACATCTGCAGGAGCTGAAGGAGGCATTTGAGCAGAGTTCCGTCCTGCGTTTCACTTACGAGATGGAAAAGGATGGGAAGCTGCCCTTTCTAGATGTAACAGTCATGGAAAAGAGCGGAGGTTTCCACACTGCAGTCTACACTAAGGAAACGAACATAGGAATGTGCCTAAATGCCAACAGCGACTGCCCTGACAGGTACAAGAGGAGTGTTGTTAATGTATATGTCGACCGTGCTCTCAGCCACAGCTCAGAATGGAAGCAAGTCGACGAAGAACTCTGTAGGGTAAGGCAGGTCCTAGTCAACAATGGCTTCTCCAATGGTTTCGTCGAAGACATCATAAGAAGGAAAGTGAAACGCCATGCAACCTCTGAAGAGACAACTAACACAACACCTATACCCCCTATTAGACTATTTTACAGGAACTTCTTTTCCACAGCTCATAAAACAGAGGAAAGGGTCCTGAAAGATATTGTTAATAGAAACGTTATCCCTACAGACAAAAATCAGAGGATACAACTGACGATTTACTATAAAACCAGAAAAACGGCCAGCCTACTCATGAGAAACTCTCCAGACACAAAACAGAACGCTTTAAAAGAGACCAACGTCGTCTATGCCTTGAAATGCCCACTTGGGGACTGCAAGCTCCAAAAAACCCAGTATATAGGCAAGACAACAACATCTCTTTCTAGGCGTTTAACGATGCATAAACAACAGGGGCTCCATTAAGGAACATATAATCTCTTCCCACAACCAAACCATCGCCAGGGAAATCCTAGTAAACACAGAAATCATCGATAGATACAGCGACAGCAGGCGGCTTGACGTTTGCGAGGCACTACACATTAAGAAGTCAACACCAGCAATCAACAACCAATTAATGCACAACTATATTCTACCCACCTTAAGACTTCGCTCTAATATAGAAGCATCAAGAAATATGGACCAATAGGCTTTCTACAATCACTTCCATTTCAATACCCATTGTTTCGTGTTCTGTCTTGTGTTGATGAAATTAATACCCTATTAATGCCACCTCACCCCATCCACCTCACTCAAATGTAGATATAAACAAAAATCGAAGATATGTAAGTTCTATTCAGTTGTGTATTTGTAAACTAAAGTCTTTGAAAATGTAATAAGTTTTACGAAATGCGCTCAAGTGTCGCGTCAGACTAGAAATATATTTATTTTTTATTTCGATATAATATGTGGGAGAGGGGGTGGGAGTGGGGTGCCTGGGTTGAAGCAGGAAGGGGGGGGGAGGGAGCCGAACAAACGCAGCGCTGATAAAGGCTTATAGTAACCATATTTATATCTTTTTCCTTTCCTCGCTTCGCTCCTTTGTTGACTCTTCTTCGTATATTCCATTCTTGTATTATTGTTTGTCAGTCCAGCTTTCTCACTGCGAGGCGAGAGGCGGGGCTTAG